TAATCTTTTCTTATTCTCTCTTTAATTATTTCTAAATGTAATTCCCCCATGCCCCCCAGTACAGTTTGTTTAGTCTCATTATTTGTCGTTATTTTTAAACTAGGATCTTCTTTTTCCAACTCTTTTAGTGCTTTGTCTAAAGCCGTTTCGTAACTGGGAGAAGGAGCTTCAACCGAGCAAAAAAACACGGGATCTGGAACCATTCGACCCGAAGTTAAACAGTTAATTACGTTTTCTTTTTCATTTCCTTTAAGAGTATCTTTTAAGGAAGAATAAACGCTAGATGATGAGGTTATAAAATCTCCTGTCACGGTATCCTACAAAAGAAAAATATTTTTCCAATGTGGGTTAAAAATACATATAAATAAAATGCGTGATTAAATGGAATTGAAAACTTTTTATTACATGATATAACCTTTAATCCAGTAACGGCTGCGATATTACCCATTTTTATTTTTTGAACTTCGTTATAATCGTCCGCATAAGCAACAAACAATTTCTCACAATTCTCCGTCTTTTTAGTTCTTGCATTGTACATTTTTTGACCCTTCAATTTGAAAAAAAGTTTTTTTTTTTTTTTTTAATTAAAATTTTTATTTTATAACATTACACCATATATTAAAGATTTGATATTCTAACCTTAAAAAGTTCACCGGAATAAATTCTTAAAAATGTAATTGGGCCTTTGTAATGATCATGTCGCACCTTAAATGCTTTAGCAGTCATGCTCTTTTCAAAATAATTAATTAAATCTTTTGATTTACTAGAAAGCGGTGATGGAAGATAGTTAACAATAGTGTCCATGAGGCATTGTACACCAATGTTTTTATATGAGCTTCCACATACTATAGGAAATCCTAAAAAAGAAATATAGTTTATTATAAAAAAAAATCATTATGCAATTACAAAACTAAATTAAATTTAATATTTGATAATATTATGATTATTATGATGTGTAAAATTTGAATAATTTTGGATTAATAATAAAATACTTATATAACTTTTTAAAAGGTGTAATTTAACTTAAGTTAAAAATGATTACGGAAACAATTTATTTCGGTAACTTTTAAAGTTACTTCATATATAATTTTAAGTGTGCCTTTGCTATAAACAAGTAATTTGCATAAAATTTTAAAAACCTTTTTGTTCTATGGTGATTTTTTGAATGGAATCCCTTAAAACTGAGCTTGAAAGCATTTCTAATTGTTTCTCATCCATAATTATTTTTTCAGCTATTGAATCATCTAAATCAGCAAGAACTTCTACAAGGTTTTTTCTCGCTTGAACAGAGTTTTCCCATAATTTTCCATTTTGAGGATTCAATTGAGTTTGAGTGAAATTAAAAGATGATGAATCCCATTCATATTTTACTAAATTTAAAAGATCTACGACTCCTTTAAAATTTTTACCTGTAAAAATAATTTTTTATTGGATTTATTTAATGCAAAATTTTAAACACAAAAAACTGTAGTTATTTCAATTACTTAATTAAAAAAAAAAAAATTATTTAATTTACTATTATCATAAACTGGTATTTGAATGACTAAAGGAGTAACTTTAAAATTTTGAATTATAGAATCTCTGCATCGAAAGAATTCTGCTGTTGGTCTGTCCATTTTATTGACATATATAACACGAGGTACATTATATCTATCAGCTTGTTTCCATACTGTTATGGTTTGTGCCTCTACTCCTAAAAAAATAATGACAACATTCTAAATAATTTAATAAGATTTTAATTTTAAGTATACTGAAATTCAATTCATACCAGCAGTTGCATCCAATATTACAACAGCACCATCCATTACATTTAAAGTTTGCTCCACTTCCATGGTAAAATCAATATGACCGGGGGTATCAAGAAGATTAATTTTGTGTTTTCCCCAATTTAAAGTAACAAATGCAGAAGTAATTGTTATTCCTAAGTGTAGTTATTATATAAAGAACATAAATTAATGACACAAAAAATTATATTTGCTTTAATTATTAACAAAAAAATAATGTATTCATAATACCTCTTTCTCGTTCTTGAGCCATAAAATCAGTTACAGTATTACCATGATGAACCTCTCCCATGTGAGTTATACTACCAGAAAAAAATAGCATTCTTTCTGTAGTAGTAGTTTTACCTAAAAACGTCAAACAATCAGAAAATTATTATAAAATTTTTCATTTGCACTTTAGTTCACCTGCATCTATATGAGCAAGAATCCCGATATTTCTAATAAAATGAGCATCATCCAAAATTTTTTTTTCATGAATTAACTTCTGATTAGAATATTTAAAACGTTGATGTTTTAAAATCATTATTTGATTTAAAAATTTTCTAAAAAATTTCATTTTAATCAGCAGTAGTAAAACTAAAGTTTTTAAGTTCTTTTTGTAAACACTGTAAAGAAAAGAACTTTGTCGCTACTTAGTTTTACAGTTGTCGCCAAAATGTATACAAATAAGTGTTTTTAATATTAAATTTATTATAAAAAAATTGTAAAAATTTCATTAAACAAAAAATTTTAATAAATGTCAGTATGAAAAAAATTTTTAAATACTTTAAGTGTACTTTAATCTAGGTAAACTTTATTTTTAATCAGTAATAAACTATATCGACTCTATTTTAGTTTTATTTAATTATGTTTTAGGTTTCAAAGTAACTGACAGAATGATTCAAACTAAAAAGAATTTAGTTGAAGTATGTCCACAGTGTTGCAAATCGGTCGATTCTTCTGCATGTAGGCTGGTTTATGATACTTGTGGTCATTCAAAATGTCGTATTTGTCTGATTCAAGAAGTAACCGGTTGTTTATTATGCAATTCTGTGATTGAAAAATCATTCGACGACTCTCAGTTTACGTGTAAAGAACCCAGTAAAAGGTTAGACAACATTGATTGTCATAAACGAAAGTCTGTGATAACATCATTAGCTTTACAGCAAGCAGAAGAAGAACAGCAAAATGTTAAAACTTCTTCTCCTTCTGTAGATAAGGACACATGTAATTTAATAAAGCAAAGCTTTGAAAAAAATATTTTGTTTCCCACAGACATTGTGAAAAGGAGCACTGGGAATTTTTATCATTTAAAAAGAATATTTAGCCAAAGATTTTTTAATGAAAATAATAATAAAAAGCATAAACCAATTGAAGTAAAAGATAAATTACATCTTATGCAAGATGAAGCAAAGAAAGAACAAAAAATTGAATGTGAAAGTTTAAGTAAAAAAAATTGGAAAGTACCTAGTCATATTCAAGTACAATATTATTGTACTGTTCATAATCTGTCACTGGAAGAGAAAACTTTATTAAAGCAACACATGTCCTGTGTATGCAGCAGTGAAAAAAGTGATAATCCGTCTTATTCATGTAAAATATGTTCCAAAAGTTATAAGGTAATTGGAAAACTTAACAGACATATGAAAAGTCATACAAAAACTTCCAGATTTAAATGCCAAAAATGTGGAAAGTTGTGTATTGATAATTATGCGCTAAAAACACATGAAAGAACTCATACCAAAAGTAAACCTTACTCTTGCTCCACTTGCCAAAAAAAATTTTCTGGATTTCAAAATCTCAAAAGACATGAAAAAAGTCACAAAAATGAAAAACAATTTGTTTGTAACGAATGTGGATTTAAATTTATTACTAAAACCGAATTAAAAAGGCATGCTGTAACTCACACAAACCTAAAATTATTCAAGTGCCAAATATGTTTAACCAAATTTGCTTTTAAAAGAACTCTTACTAGGCATGCTAAAACTCATGATGCAAATTTAAGTAAGGTTAAATGTCCACATTGTGATTCTACATTCAATAGAAAAGATAATTTGGAAAGGCACATAAAAACTGCACATTGTGAATTAAAAACCGACATTTCAAATCAATAACATGAAGTTACATGCATAATATTAAATATCTCAGAATTTCCTTTTGAAAAAATATTTAAATTTTTTTATGTGTGATTTTATAACAATTATTTGACAAAAGCCAATTTTAAACATTTTACTATGCCTTATACAAAAATTAATTCTTTGAATTTACTAATGTCAATATAAATATAAAGATTTTAAAAAAAGTTAAATAACGAAAAGATACTCAAATTATAATTTGAAAACTCCTTTTCAAATATAAAAGTTATTTATTAATAGTCTTTTCACTTTTTTGAAGTGGAATTCGTTTTTAATTTTTTTAAATTGACTGCAGTATTACATTTTGCTTAAAATTATTATTAAATAATTAAAAATAATAATTTTTTTAAAATATAAATACAATTTTTACAAAAATTTTAATTATTCTATATATGAATACAATAATTCAGTTTATATAATAATACATTAAAACAACTTAAATAAAAGTAAACTTTGCAAAAAATTTTTATTTTATGATTTGTCAAAAGGTTTTTAATGTAAATCATACAATAATTAAGGTTTATTTAGAACAAACCTAGCCTAAGAGTTTACTATTATTACAGGGCAGTAAAGTTTAAATTAATTTTATAATAGGGATAAAATTATTTTTCATTATATAAAATTTTTACTGGAATTTTAAAACCTTATAATAACGAACAAGTGAACTTAAACAATGTATTGAGTTTGTAAGATTCGATATTGTCCACCTTCAAAGTAAATCTACTTACGTTTAATATTGAAAAGATATTTGAAACTTTTATTTTCCTTCTTAAACCTTGTTGAAAATCACTAAAGTTTGTTTGAAAAATTGCTCCTCAAGTTTACTCTGCAACTAAAGAAAAAACAGTATACATTTAAATAAACATGAATTAATTTATAAAAAATATTTTCTAAAAAAATTATAAATTAATATTTACCTTCTGCCATTTCTTTTGGTTTAGTGTTATCAATTAAAACGTCACTACCATAGTATTTTGTTCCATTTAAATCGATAGCAAAATTGTAATTAGTAACATTATCTAAACATTTTTCAATTGCTTCTTCTAAATTTTCAAGAGTTATGTATGTTTTACTATATTCCTGTTTAAAAGAGATTTTTAAAAAAAAATTAATAATCTTTTATATTTATAAGAAAATTAAATAAAGTTTTACCTTTTCCTTTTTAATTATGCTATCCAGCCGCTCTAATTTAAGTTTAGCTTTTTGCTCGTCCTTAGCAATTTTTTTATTTGCCATTTCTGCTTTCTTTTCCAACAAACTTTTAATTCTGTTTTCTCTAAATTCCGCAGACTGAGCATTCCAAATTTCATTCATTTCAATTGATTCTTTTTTTTTTTTTTCTAATAAATTTTTTTTTATCATAACTTCTTCTGTCATTGATTGCGATTTGACTGATTCCCATGCGGGGTTGTGAATTTTTATAAATTGACTAAACAAAACAATACATACTTTTATGAAATACAACGTTTTTAACAACAAAATCATTTACGAAAACGTTACTCACTTTAACGAGTTCATAGAAATGTTGTAGTCAATTTTGAGTCTCTGGTATTCATTAAAATCATCAGAAGGCATTTCTTTTTTTTCCGGTACGATAAACCTTTTACTTTTGGCGATTCCTAACCAAAAGGGTTTTCTGTACCTCAACCACCGAACACTTTCACATGTAGTAGAAACTAGTTTTTTCGTAATTAAAGTACGACAAAAATTCTTAACAATCATGTTGTTAAAACAATAAAAAAAAATTAAAATCTACTTTCATTAATAATATATATATATTCATTAAGTTTACTTTCTTATAAGTTCATTTTTAATAAGTAATAAATTTTTTCTTACAAGGCGGTGACTTAAATAAAAAAATATTACAATTTATTTATCAGTTGGTAGTAACTGCAATCAATTATAATTCGGGAAGCACTGGTCACTACATTACTTTAAAAAAGTAATTGAAAGTAATTTTAATCGTTAAAACTTAATTAAACTAACAGTATTGTATCACAGCAGATAAAATAATCCAACTTTTAATATTCAAATAATTTAATACAATAATGAATGAAATTTTTATTTCTTCCAACTGGATATCAGAATGTGGAACTGATATCAACCAAGTCTTAACAGTTAATTCATCAAATAACAAGTAAAGTAAATTTATTTTTAAAATGTCACACGTTTCTGAAAATTTATATACATACATATTATTGTACAATATATATATATTTATATTATAAACGTGACAATGATTTGATTATTTTTATTAAATTTCTAACTCATTAAAAAAAATTTTATTTTAGTTCAATTGATAATGTAATGGTTGAAAAATGTATTTGCTTAACCCAAGAACCCAATAGAGAAAAAAAAGAAAACACAAATTTAAAGCCAGAAATAATAATAAAATCAATTTACCCAATAAAGGAAATAGAATTAATTTCAGAAGCTAGTCTTGTGGAAATATTTGGTAAAGACAATGAATATTTATTTACTTGTGAATCAAATTTTATTGATGAATGGGAAGAAATGGCAGTATATAAAACTAAAATAGATTTACCAAATTTATTTTATTGTAATATAAAGGTAATTTCTAAAATGAAGTATCCTAAAATTTTTAAATAAATATTCTAATTTTAATTATTTATTTTACAGTGTTCTAAATTAAGAAATCCTAACAGTATTTGGTTGTACAGTATTCAACTTTCAGTCGACAAAAGTTTAACTTTGAATCAAAAGTCTAATGTGTTTAATCTTGAAAATGTAAACATATTATTATCAAAATGTAATCAACCTATATCTGTGAGAGCTGCAAAATTTAAAAATTTGTTTGAATTATACAACAAAAATTCACATGAATTAGAACACATAAAAAATCAAGGAGGATTACAATGGGAGAATTTTTTTAAAGCTTTTAATTCTTCAAACACTTATGAACTATTTAAAAAATTAGATTTTAAAAATGAATTAATGAATTCTGAATCACAGTTAAGTGAAAACTTTAATGAATCTTTTCCTTTGAGTTCAACATCATCAAATATTTCAAAAAAAGTTCATCAGGAAAGTTCGACAAACAAAAATTCATTAGATTTGGAACCGTTAAAAACTTACATTAATAAAAAGTTTTTAGATATGAAAGAAGACATATTAAAAGAAATGGAATTAAAAGTTAATGAAATAAGAGAAGAAAATAATTTCTATTTTAATAAAATCATTCTCGCATTAAATGATATGAATATAAATTCTAATACATCTTTTTTAAAGGTTGGTTAACCTTAAATGTATTAAATAAAAGTTTATATTTGTTTCTGTAAAATTTAAATAAAATGAAAATATGAAATAAAAGATTTTTACCACTTTTTTAAAATTTTCAACAACAACCTCTAATACCTCAAGTCACAATAATATCATTTTATACTACAAGTTAAAAATAACACATCAAAATCAAGACTAAATAAAAATTATGAATAATTTACCCAAATACCTAATTGAGTAAATATTTTGTACCTGATAAAAGTAATTTTTTAAATTTCCTATTAAATATTAAGAATTAGAGCGATTTAAAAGTAATTTCGAAAATAACAATAAAATTATTTTTTAATAGCAAATTGTATGATAATGATGAGCTGAAATCCTGATTTAAAACTTTAACGTTTTTTTGATAAACTAATACTATTTAAAAATGTCTCAAATGTACAACACATACATTAAAATATTAAGAAAATATTTAAGGTAAAATTAACTTTTAAATAATTAAGAATTAATTTTTAATAATACTGTATATTTAAAATATAAAGTGCGTCAAAATTCTTTTAAAAATCAAAATTTACAAAAAATGTAAAGTTAATAATTTTTTAAATTATAACTCGAACACTATTTATACGAGCTTAAACAAAAATAAAAATTTTTTAAGTATTTTGTTTTTATTTCAAAAATTTCTGCATTTTCATTTTTTTAGGTGAGAACTTATAAACTATTTGGTACAAAATAAATTACTATACTATTGTTCAAGAAATTAAATACAACATAATATGTTTAAAATTATGTTATTTCATTTTTTATACAATTCTAAATTATAACTTATTAATTAAAGGCAAAAATATAAATTATTGTTTTCATGTATGACAAATTTGCTATCGTAGAAAAATTTGTATAAAATTGAAAACCCCCTTAATAAATATACATACATTAAAATATGGTGAAATAAAATAATTAAATACATTTGGAACATCAATCTTCAAAATCTGACATTTCGTCAGAAAGTTTTAAATGATCAGGACTTGAAGTTTTTTCAGATTTGGTATCAGTTAATTCATCCCAACAATGTAATTGTTGCCTCCAAACTTTAATTAAACCATCCCAAGCCCTTCTACTATATTTATTATGTTTGGGTGGAGTTTTCGGATGGTAATTTTTCCTTTCTTCTCTAAAAATTTTTTTAAGAATCGATAAGATGTTTAAGTTTACTTTTAAAATATTGCTTATAAGTAACAATTAATTTTTTTTTTTAAAATAACCAATGCAAATTTAAAATTGGACAAAATTTGTACAAAATTTGCAAAAATGCTTAATTAATTAAATATAAGTAAACTGAATTTTTAAGTAGGCATAAAATAGGAATTCCAAGAACTTAAATAATTATAAAAAGCTGATATTACTTGGATTATATAATAAAAATTTTAATATTGATTTACCTTGGTACAGATTTGATATATCTGTCATAACCTAATGTATTTTTTCCATAATCAATCTGTTTTTGTCTCCTAGCTAAAACTAATGGATCAGTTTCAATAGAATTATGCCTTTTTTTTCTCTTGGAGCAATAATTATTTCTTAATTTTGATCTGTTAAAAGATTCCGTTGGAGAATCTCGAATTCTTTTTCTAAACGAAGTGGTTGAACCCTCACATTCAAAACCTTTTTGAAAATTGAAATTTTTATTAAATGATTCCAATGAGAAATTAATTTCGTTTCTATCTAATTTATTATAATTACTAAAGGAGTCGTCATCGGCCCACTTATCCTTTTCTACCTTACAATTTGTAGCATCAGAAATTTGAGCAAGCGTTTCACTTAATTCACGATTATCATTACAAGAAAGTTTTTGATCGTTTAACACATTTTTTGAAACTAATTTTTTATCGTAACTCATTTTTAATAGAAGTATTATATAATTAAAAAAAAAAGTGAACCCGCGCTAATTTATTTATTTTTTAATGTTGGTAAAACCGTTCGTTGCGTTACCTTAACTTTACATTTCATTCGTATTTTCTAATTATTTTTTTTTGTCTCAATTAATTGTTTGGTGTTTGGAAGAAAATTATTATTAAACAATTGTGAAAAAAAAAATTAATTGTACCTATAAGATCTTATTTTAATTTTTTTTGTGATTCACAAAAGTATCATGAGAAATAATAATAGTTATTAATTTATAATAATTAATTTTATTTCAAGCAACAAAAAATTTTATAAAAGAAAAATATACAAATAAATTGAAAGCTAATTTTTAACAAAACTTATAGTTTAGTTTTTGTAAATAAAAGCTTTTCCTTAAACTAAATATTTTATTAATTAGTAATATAGATTTGTAAATTAAAAATAAACTAAACTCTTAAATATTTATTTGAGGTAATATATTTGTATTAATTAGAGAATCCAAGTTTATTCTTAAAATATCTAAATTCATATTTAATTTTTTTAATAATTTAGCTCCTTCTTGCATTTGTATTTGACATTTAAGCAATTTTTGATTTGTAATATTCAATTCATTTTTCGCATTAAAAGCCGTTTGTTTAATAAAGTCATTCATATTTTTTGATAATGACTCATTCCTCTCATCTGTAAAAATATTTATACCATAAATAAACATAAAATTTAATTTAAAAAAAAAAAAACAAAAAGTGAAAATAGTAAAAACATTACACAATTTTTTTGCAAGAATTGATTGAAGTTTATTTGGTTTTTCTTTAACTGTTATATTTTTAACTTGCTTGTTAACACTATCAAAATTCTCTAAAAAACAAAATTAATTAGGAGAAGTGTTTATAAATTATTTTATAATTATAAAAATATACAGTATCATATTGGCTCAAAAAAAATTTATCAGTATACCATGGATTTCATCATCTGATTCAGGAGCTTCTCCAGACACTATTTTTCCCTTACAAAATTTATTCTCATTACAACTTATATTAGACAAATCAATTTCTTCTTCACTTTCAGATTCTTGGGCTTCTCCTAAAATTACATAAGGCTTTGTGCTCATTATTAATATAAATTTAAATTTCTATATAATAAATACAATACAAAAAAAATCGTGTCTTTAGAATTAATTAAAAACCAAGCGAAAATAATGCATATCCGGTATAAGGTTCATCAAGATGTCGGACGATTTAGAAACTGATGATAATTTTAGTGATGACTCTAACAACTTCAATAGAAAAGACCGGGAAGAAAATCGATTTAGGGAAGAGGAAGAATTTGATGAGGATAGAGAAGATTTTAGGTTTAGAAAGCGTATGAGAGGAAGTTTTAGGTATGATTTCTAATTTTACCGGCTTTGTTTGAAATTATTAAATAGAAGCTAAGATGTATTTTTTGTTTTTATTATTTTAATTAATAACGTAAAGATCTCTAAAAATTATTATTATTTTTTTATTATATAATAAATCACGTGGAGTAAAAATTTCTAATTATTTCTGATTTTTTCTGTGAATTTTATCAGCGAATTAGTTTATTTTCTCTTAACCTAAACAATACCTTTTCATGCATTTTTTTTTTTTTTTTGTAATCACGGGTATATTTAATATTAGATTAATGGTATTATTTACCAATTTTTTTTTAGGGGTAGAGGATTTGGAACAACAGGACCACCTAGATTTAGAGGACCACCTCCACCTACTTGGGGAAGAGGTGGAAGAGGCGGGAGATTTACTGCGCCCAATTGGAGAGAAGATTGGGAGAGACCAGCTTGGGGTCCAATGGGTCCTCCTCCACCTGGATTTAATGGACCTCCTGGAATTGTAAGTTAAATAATTTTATAATTGTCTATCCCATTTTATGTATTTTAAAATGTTTTTGTTTTATTATATTAATTCATATTAAACTAATTAATTTAAGAGGAATTAGGAATGTAGCTTAATGGCACAAATTTCAAAAATATACCAAAATAATTTAAAATAAAATTCTTATAAATTGTCTTTAAAAATTAGCTGTTCTTTTTCAGATCAAATTGTATTTATAAACTTATTAAGTTTCTTGTTGAACAGGTTGTTTGGGTTGTATTGATAAAATTTTATACTTTTAAGTTTTATTTTTTTTATTGTCATATTAATGTTAAACTTGTGTGGTTTACTAGCCTCCTCCTATGATGAGTGGGCCTCCAGGAACACAAGGGCCAGGTCCAATGGGCATGGGTCCTCCAGGACCATACGGTACTGGTCCAATGGGATGTATGGCTGGTATGATGCCTACACCTGTGAGTGAATTTTTTTTTTTTTTTTATTTAGATTTAGCTTATTTTGGAATTCATTTTTTGAAATAAACTATTTAAATTTCAGATAGACATGTCAGGTGAAATTTGGGTAGAAACTAAATCTCCTGAAGGTAAATTGTATTACTATCATGCCAGAACAAGAGAAACAACCTGGACCAAGCCTGAGGGGCCAAATATTAAAGTATATACCCAAGAACAGGTATAACATTATTTTTGAAAATAACTCTTTTAATTTTGGTTTTAAAAAATATTGTACAATATTTTTGTAAAAAGTTATAAAAAATTACATTCCATTTTTTAAATTTAGGTAGAACAAATGGCTGCTAGTGCTTTAGGTGGGCCAATGGGGCCAGGTGGTACTATGGGTAACACTATTGGGCCTATCGCATCTACTGGGCAATCTGGCACTGTGGGACCAAGTGCAGCCCCTGGAATGTTGCCTACCACACCTGATTCTATGATGGTTCAAAGTAGTTATCAAGGTGTTCCCCCAACAACCATTAGGAATGGTAATGAGAACGGCACTAATGGTTTAAGTAAATCAGTTAATAAAGAGGAAACTACAAATAGTGCATCCCTTTCAAATGAAGAGGATGCATCTGAATCACCACCATTAAATTCAACATTAACTGCAACTACCACTCAAACAACTACAACCTTAACATCAGCAACTACTGTTTCTGCACCCATGATACGACAAACTCCTATTCCTTATCCTGGAGCGCCTTCTGCTTATGGCATGCCTCCTCCAGGATATCAAGGTGCACCTGGGTATGGTTATCCAGGATTACAATGGGGTGTAGCTCCTCAAGGAAATCCTTATTTAGGTAAGATTTTTTTTTTTTTATTAATGGTCAACTTTAGAGAATTTTATTTTATAAAAATGTTTTGTTTAAGGTTTAGGGGTAGGACCAGCCATGCCGGGGCCTATGGTTCAACCAGGAGCAATCCATCAATCACAATTACCTACAATGCAGCCAAATGCAAATAGTTTAATCACAGCATCGGCTCCTGCTTCTAAAATGGAAGATTTAGCTCAAATAGATCCTCAAATTGTTGCTAAAGCTTCAGAATGGTCAGAACATAAAGCTCCTGATGGCAGACCATATTATTATAATTCGAAAGCCGGAGAATCCGTATGGGAGAAACCTCAAGCTTTAAAAGATTTAGAAAGTAAGTTTGTCCAGCAGAGAAAATCTCTTGGAATATTATTTCTTTAAAAGAAGAATAATATTCAACGTTTTGTTAATTAAAATACGTAAATGAAAATTAATATCCTTAATTTTTTCTTAACACAATTTTACTCTCGAGTTTATGAAAGTTTATAAAATTTTTTATAGCCGCAAAATTAGCTGCTGCTCAAGGAATATCTACAGTGCCATCAGGTAATAATCAATCTTCACCTACTTTAGGATTTACATCATCCTTGTTGTCTAATAATCAAATTCACGGGGAATCAGAATCATCCGACGAAGAACAAATCACAAAAGGTAAAATTTCATTTTTTTTTTTTTTTTGCAAATTATAATTTATTTACTATTAAAAATTATGATTTTAATTCAAGTTCCTGGAGTTGAAGATATATTAGAGGAAGATATGTTAAAACATAAACAAAAAGAAGAAGATGCCGAAGAAGAAATGCGTAAAAAGAAAGAAGAAGAAGAAAAAGCAATTGAGTTAAAAAAGCAACAGGATCGCGCACGCCCAGTTTCTAGTACACCAGTTCCAGGTAAAATGATTGTAAACATTTTTGTTTTTTAAAAATATAATCAAGCATTAACTTGTAAACATCTGCACAACATTTAGGGACTCCATGGTGCGTGGTCTGGACTGGGGATGGTAGAGTGTTTTTTTATAATCCGTCAACAAGGACGTCTGTTTGGGAAAGACCTGACGAATTAACCAACAGATCGGATGTTGATAAATTAGTCATTTCTCCTCCTGAAGCAGTGGTTAATGCAAATAGTACACAACCTCCTACATTCACTACAAACGTTGTAACAACATCTTCGAACTCTGCATCAGCTACGCCCAAAAGAGAGAAAGAAGGAAGTGGAGAAAGTAGCGAAGAAGAAGTGAAGAAACGCCCGCTAAAAAAGCCAAAACTCAAAATTTAATCAAAGGTAGTTGTTTTTATTATATAATTACGTGATTGTAATTTACATTAAAAATAAGTTAACGATACGAGTTTTTTTAATTATTAGAAGAAGTAAAAGAAGACAAAAAATTAAAAACTCAGATTGACATAGGAAAGGAAGCTGCGATCGAAGCCGAAGTTAGGGCGGCCAGAGAAAGAGCTATTGTGCCTTTGGAAACCAGAATAAAGTCTTTCAGAGACATGTTAGCCGAAAAAGAAGTAAGAAAAATGACATATGGCACAAATATATATATACATTGTCACAAATTATTATTTTTGAATATTTATTTTACCATCTTAGGTATCTGCATTTAGTACGTGGGAAAAAGAGTTACACAAAATAGTCTTCGATACGAGGTACCTTCTTTTAACTTCGAAAGAAAGAAAGCAAGTATTTGAAAAGTACGTGAAAGAGAGAGCAGAAGAAGAAAGGAGAGAAAAAAGGAATAAAATGAAAGAAAGGAAAGAAGATTTTAGAAAATTACTAGAATCAGCCGGTTTGTATGGAAAGTGAGTAAACGTTTAATACTCGAATGTATATTTTTTATGTTTCCTCCCCCCACAAATACTAGTTTTCACTTTTGAGTTTCTACAACTCATACTCGTGATACATTTTTCCCATTTTTTTTCATCAGGTCATCTTTTAGCGATTTTGCTGCCAAGTGGAGTAAGGATGAAAGATTTAGAAACATTGAAAAAATGCGGGAGAGAGAAAGTTTATTCAACGAATATATATTAGAAGTAAGGAAACGGGAAAAGGAAGAAAAAGTTCTCAGGCGCGAACAGGTAACGGGACAATTCAAATTTATTATAAATATTTTAATAAAAAAAATATTCCCAAATATATTATATTAAGAAATATTTTTTATAAACGTTTTTTTTAATTTATAATTGAAGGTTTTTTTTTTTTTTTTTTTTTAAAAAAAGTAAATACGAAAATATTTTTTAATTTAAAAAACAAAAAAAAAAAAAATTAAAAATCTATATATTATTGATTTTAATTTAGTTATTAAAAATCATTGTTTTTTTTTTTTTTTTTAATTATAATTATAAATAGTTGTTTATTTTTTTAAAATAATTTTTTTAGTGCACAAAATCGTTTAAAAAAAAAGAAAAGAAAAAGTCGTAAGTACCAGTAAAATAAATATGAATTTTCAGATACTTTTGATACACACTATGAATAATTTGGATTTGGATTGTAAGTTATTAATTTTATTTATTATTATTATTATTATTATTATTATTATTACATTTTTTTTAAAGATAAAATAATTTGATATTCGATATTTATATATATTATAAAATACAAAAAAAAAAAATATCATGATAATATTAATATATATATTAATAATAATTTGAGTTTGGAAAAGGAATCAGTTGTTTTTTATTTTTTAAATTTTAATATTAATAATAATAATAAAAAAAAAAAAAATTACAACTGATTTCTACTTTTAATCGGAAAATTTTTTTTTCAGTTTAACATTTAATAAAAACAATCAAAATCAATAAAAAAATGGTTAGATTTATGTATATATATATATATATGTATGTACTTATGTACGTATGTATATATTCAAGTAAATAATTAAGAGTTTGAGTAAAATTTTTAATAAAATAAAATAAATTAAAAGGAATTCATTTGTTCAAAATAAAATAAAAAAAAAAAAAAAACAAAAAAAAAAAAAAAACAAAAAAAATGATTAATGATTTGTGATTGTCATTTCAACTCTAGTCTTTTGGAATGTGAATGAAGATGGCATTGGAGACACGCTTTGAAGTTTTTGTGGACAGCCAACACTCCGTTTGAACACCTGAAGTCGCCATCCACATAAGCCAAATGCACACTCTCTCTCTCTCTCTCTCTCACGATTTAGGGTTTTTTTTCACGGTACTGCTTACTTAGTTTATTTTAAAAACAAAAATTTATTAAAAAAAAAAAAAAAAAAAAATCTTATTTTAACAGAAAGTAAATATATACATATAAGACACTTTCTGACCGAAACAAAATAAAAAAAAAAAAAATTTTTAAATCGGTTTAGAATTTTTTAAAATGAAATGAAATGTAGTCGGTCATTAAAAGATGTCGGAAAATTTTTATTAAAAGTTTATTAAATAATTTATTATTTATTTGAGGATATTATCTTCATAAAATAACCGCCGGATAAGTTTTTAAAATATAGTTTTTTTTTTTAAAAAGAAAAGAAAAATTTTTTTGGAAATATTGGGGATTTTTTATCCGCTGCTTCGCATAGATTTGGGTAACCATCAACAAAGAATTTTAAAATTTTTTTTTTATTTTTATTTTTTTTTTTTTTCGAAAAAGCAAAAAAAAAAAAAAAGAAAATTTTTTTTTTTTTTTAATTACTTGAAACGATTTTTCAGCCGTCAACTCATGGTCACATCTTCCCGGATAATTTCCCCCTCGTTTATTAACTACCTATATATGTAGTAGTAGGGCAAGAGAAAAATATTCCCTAATTTTTTTTTTTTTTTTTTTTTTTTTTCTTACGCGAATTTCAAATTATTTGCGTTTAGAAATTTTTATTTTAATAAAAAAAAAAAAGAAAGAAAAAAAGAAAAATTGATGATTTGTTTTTGGGTTATAAATTGGTATTATTATTATTATTATTATTATTATATTTTGTAATTATAATTTTAAAATTTTTTTTCAGATATTATTATTATTATTATTAATTTTATAGAAAAATAATAAAATATCACAATATATATATATATATAATTATTATATTGTGTGTTAACATAAAGTTTTGAAAAAAAAAAACAAAACAAAATAAATTAATTTAAATGATTAATTAATTAATTAATTTATTTATTTATTTGTAAATTTATGTTTTATAAAAATTTCGGTAATTAATTAATTAATTAATCATTTAAAAAAAAATTTATTAATTAATTTTACAGGTTTACAAGTTGTTTGTTCATCTTTGTTTAATTTTTTTTTTTTTTTTATATTATATATATTAAAATATTAGTAAAATGTTTACCAAATTTTTTTTTTTTCAGCTTTTTGTTACAACGTGCCAAATATATAAAACAAAAAAAAAAAAAATTAATAATAATAATAATAACAATTTTTTTTTTTTCAATTGTTTTTTTGTTGAAAATTTTCCAGATCAAAAAAGATTTTTTTCAAATGCTTCGAGAGACTCACGAAGTGGATCGTCACACGAGGTACAGCGAAGTGAAGAAAAAATTAAGTTCGGATCCCCGGTATAGAGCTGTGGATTCGAGTACGGCGAGAGAAGATTGGTTTAGAGAACACATAAAACATTTGAAAGAAGAGAGGAAAAGGGATAAGGAAAAAGACAGGAGAGACAGGAAGGAATTTAAAAAGGAAGAAAAAAAGGATAGAGATTTAAAAAAGGATGAAAAAGAAAGGGATAAAGACAAGGATAATAAGGATAATAAGGATAAGGATAAGGATAATAAAGATAAAGAAAAGGATAAGGATAAGAACGTAGATCATGATCACGATGATATGCCCCTACACGATCCCGAAAGGAGTGATGTGAGTCAAAAATTTTCTCAAGTTATTTAATTGTTTTAATTTTACACCAAAATGGAAACGATTCATTTTCAGACTGATATTGATCAAGAAGTCAATTCGGAAGAAGATAGGGAAAAGGAGAAAAAGGATAGGGAAAAACAAGCCAGAGTGGAGGCTAGTCTTCGCGAGAGAGAAAAAGAAGTTCAAAGAACTTTGGCGACACACTTGAGAGATAGAGATAAAGAACGTGAGCAACACAAACGTGATGAAGCAGTTCAGCATTTTAATGCTCTTTTAGCCGATTTAGTTCGAAATGCTGATTTGAGTTGGAGAGAAGCGAAACGAGTGAGTTTTTCATCGCGCACTCAATCTTGTTTTAATTCATTATTATTAGTATTATTATCATTATTATTATAAAAAAAAATTTTAGGCCCTCAGAAAGGATCACAGATGGGAACTTGCTGAATTGCTCGACAGGGAGGAAAAAGAAAAAATTTTTAATTCTCATATCGAGCAATTAACTCATAAAAAAAGGGAGAAATTTAGGTGAGAGAAATATAATAATAATAATAATTATTTTAAATAAGGTTTTGTTTATTTGTGGATTTTTAATTTTTTTTTATATATTTTTTAGAGAATTACTGGATGAAACTGGTGAAGTTACGTTAACAAGTTCATGGAAAGAAGTAAAAAAATTAATTAAGGAAGATCCAAGGTGTACAAAATTTTCTTCTAGCGAAAGGGTAATTATTTTAAATTTATATTTAATATCTTTTATTCACGCGTCAATTTTAATTTTTGTCTTCCTTTTTTTTTTTTTTCTAGAAAATCGAAAGGGAATTTAAAGACTATATAAAAGATAAATATGTAGCGGCCAAAGCCGATTTTAGAGAATTATTGCAGGTTAGAATTTTTTTTTTGCACGAAAAGTGTTACAAAATAATAAGTTTTAGTTTGATTTTCTATTTAAATAATTTATTTCTCTCAATTAATTTATTTATTTATTTAAGGAAACCAAATTAATCACTCATAATTCGTTAAAACTTTTTCAAGAAAATGAACAACATATACACGAAATAGAAGAAATTTTTAAAAAAGACAAAAGGTACCTTATATTAAATTACATTCCGGAGGAAAGAACCAAATTAATATTATTTTATTTAGAGGATTTGGAAAAAAGAGGTCCTCCTCCCCCCCCGACCGCTTTTGAACCCAATAAAAGAAATAAGGGAAATTACAATTAAAAACTTAAGTTTTTTTTTTTTTTTTTTTTTTATTTTAAATTAAAGGCCTTTAATTAATTTTAACTAAACTTGCCTATTGATTTAAGGCTTAACTTGCTTTTTACTGTTTTTTTTTCTCTCTCCCCCTGTCTCCTCCCCCCCCCCCCGGGAAAAGCACTAGAATCGGGATTAGAATTAAACTTTTTTTTTTTTTTTTTTTTGTTATTTTATAAGAATTTAAGTTATATGTATTGATTTTTTTTTTTTTTTTTGCTTTTTAATAAATTCCTGAATTTCAATTAAAAAGTGAGAATGTTTGCGAATGCAAAATAAATTCGGGAACGGCATTCATTTTGCCAATTTATTTTAATTAAAAAAAATAATAATAATGATAATAATAGAAGTGACAATGTTTTTTATTTTTCTGAAAATAAAACGGAAATAAATTGTAATTTTACGTTTTTAAAGTATATGATTATGTTGCAAATTATTTTTTTTTTTTAATTTTACATAATTTAATTATGTTTTTTTTTTTAAATTGATTAAAATTATAAAGTGCCAACATATTTGTATTATTTGCTAATTGAAAAAGAAATAAATTACTTTTTCTTTACTCTCTGTCTGATATTAGTTTACATAAAAAAATTTGTAATGAGTTTTTTTATTTTATTTTATTTTTAAATAAATCCATTTTTTTTTTAAATTTTAAATTTTATTATTATTATTTTTTTTTTTTTTGTTTTTATTTTACATTGATTTTTAAAACTTTTTAAATTGGAATATTTTAGGACAATAACTTTTCATAATCGCATAAAAATTTTGAATTAAATAGTGACGTGGTTTTAGACTTGCTATAATAACGGGATTATATTTGGCGCGAATTCTTTTGTTTACTGTGAAATAAAGTTTTGTTAAAAGTGAAAATGGATAATATAATTCAAAATCTTAACAAAAAATGTGATTTTAAAAAAATAATGACATATGTGCAAAGTCTAAATATAACAGAGGTAAAATTTTTAATTAATTTAATGAAATAAATTAGTATTAATATGACACTTATTCATGTCCTGTTTAATTTTAAGGTTTGTTCTGAAGTGAGTAATATTTGTTTAAAAGAAAATGGTTCCAGTACTATTCAAATATTATTTAAGAGCTTACCTAACTCTCCTGTTTTTCAAGAAAAAAAAGATAAGGTAATTATAAAAGTTTTTGAATGAATGTTTTATGGAATTTTAATATTTTAATATCTATAAATATTATCAGATTTTTGTTGAAGTATTCACCAATATTCAAGAAAATAAAGTTCCTAATAAGCTTGCAAATAATTTAATAAGCATTTTGGCCGATGAAGTTAATAATGTATCTACAGTACTTTTAGTTAAAATGTTAAATAATTGCTTACAATTAGTGTTGAGTAATGAAAATGATGAAGAAATGGTTTGGTAAGTTTGTTTAATTATTTTTAAGCTGTTTTATAGTTAAAAATGAATTTAAAGGAATATTGTTGCACTAATGATTACTAAATTTTTTAGGTGGAAAACATTGATACCACAGTTATTATCTGCCATTGAACATAAACCATTCGTGGAACATAATGGAACGAAAACAACAGGCCAAGAATTTAAAAAACAATTTATAATTACTCTTTTAATGAATGAATGGAATAAAAATAAATTAAGCAATATTGCAACTATGTTTAGGTAAGATTCTAAAATTTTTATTTTTTTTTACCAACCAATTTTTTTATTAAATTAATTTACCTTTGGTTTGTATTTATTTAAAATTCCATATTTTTTTTACCAACACATTTTTTTTTATTAATCTTTTTTTGTTTGCAGCGAAATTTCATTGAAGCCAGATGAACATTTAAAAGTAGTTAATAAAATATGTAAAAACATTTGTAAATTAAATTTAAATGAAATTCCTCCTCTGATATATCAGTTGTTGATTTTAACGAAGGAATATAATAGTATGCCAGTATTTTTAACATTGGCAGATTTATTCGACAACAATCTTTATAATAAAATTAAAGAAAATGATAATAATCATTCTCAAATAATTACAGAAGGTCAGTATAATGTAATGAAATTTAATTTTTGTTTAAATAAATTAAGTAATTTCATCATAATTTAATTAATATTATTTATTACTAGATAATTTAAATTTCAATGAAATCATATTAGTGGAAAGAACAGTTTTGTATCACATAAATAAAGCTGCTAGTGGACAATGTATAAAAAGCATAAAGGATTTTTTAAAAATTCTCAAAGAATGCATTCATTATCCAAAATTTATTCTGCGACCATTTTTTTTGACATTATTATTAAATTTATCAACTATTTCTTATGAATTTCAAACAAAAATTATGAATCTTATTTTACCTGCTTTTTCGAGGCAAATTTTGGAACAAGAAAAAATATTTAACTCTGCTTGGCTTGAAACTATTATTTCCAATGATGTTGATGTTGATGGTAATTTAAGTAAAATTTTACGTTACAGGTAAAATTATTTTATATTTTTTACTTTGATTTAATTTTTTAAAAATATTTTTATAGTATAAAACTTTTTTTTTTTTTATTATAAACTTCATTAAAATTTTTTTTGTAGCTGTAAAGACAAAGATGAAGTTTTAAAAGGTTTAATTTATTTAGGATTTTCATTATTAGAAACTAAAGGCAAAGGAAAGGAAAATGGAAACGAATTAGCCTGGAAAATGGGTTCAACATTATTAGTTAATTTAGTACAATTGTTTCCTCGCGTTACTTGTCACATATTTCAACAGTTAGTAAATCAAATAACTCAAAATTATGAACTCCCTAGATTTACAGGTAAAAACTCGTATAAATTTAGCGATTTGATATTTATTTTATTAACAATAGTCTAAATAAATATAACAATAATCATTTTTTTCGTTAAATAAAAAGTAAATTTTTTTAAAAAGTTTTTTTTTTTTTGTTTTAGATTGTCTGACAAAAATTATAAAAAAACGATCATTAAATATGGTAGAATTTCAAGAGACAATAATTCAGCTGTTGGGAAATATTTGTGAAAATTTTCCATCGATTGTCGGTCAAAGAATTTTCATTGCCGTATTACCTATAATAAAAATGTCACATTCTTTTAGAGATAATTTAATCATTTTCCTTCGTAAAGCTCTTTTGAGGTGTTTTTTTTTTTTTAAAACATTTAAATTTAAAACTATTAAAAAAATTTATCAATTTACTTATATTTAATTTTTTTAAAAGTGATTTATCATCACGAGAAATGGGCGTTTACGGTTTATTAGAATTGTTAAAAGAATTTCATATAAGTGATAATTTCTCATCATTGAGCCAGTGTTTATCCCAAAATTATGTCGGTATATCACAAGTATTTTCTGGTACTAAAGCACCTATTTCAAATGAAGGATTATGTTTAGAAATTTTGGCAATATTAAAACAGGTTTATAATTATCACTCCAACGTCAAAATTTTATTTTACAACGGTAAAAATATATTTTATTATTATATTTATTCATTTTTTGAGTTATTAATAAGTTTTATTGTGTTTTTTTTTTTTTTAGACATTTATTACAGTTTCAAAGATAACCCGAAAATCGGAGCTCAAATTTTGGATATATTAAAAATTCGTTTTGATGAATTTTATCAAGAAATTGAGGGAAGTCCTCCTATAGACTTTCAAAAAACTGTCGTTTCCGAAGAGTCTACAATTGTCGTTAAAGTGACAAAAAAATTATTATTATTATTTTTTTTTAATATACATTTGCATTTTTCGTTTTTTAATTAAATTAATTTTTATTCTAAGGAACCAATAGCTCATTTATTATTAGCCATTTCAATGGTTGTTGGAAAAGCAGAACAAGATTTTGTTGGTGAAATAAAATTTACCGACGTATTAAATACAATGTGTGACAAAATGGCGGATTGTGATATTCCTCATTTCGGATTAAATAAGGTAAAATTTTCCCAAATTAAAATGATTTATAAAATGGTTATGAAAAAAAAATTCGTTTTATAATTTCAGGATCAAAATGATAACTCATGCAATGATGATCCCGTGGAATTTCAACTTAAGCAAGAAATGATTTTTCAAATATTAGGAGTCTATGAAGCTTTAATGTCATTTGTTTTATGTAATTGGGAAAAAGAATTTTTTCCCAATCCGGCACCTAAATTAAACGCACTTTTTAAAGGTTATTGCAGATTACATGATTACGCCAAGTCTTTTGGTACAGCTTCTAAGAAAAAAGTAGATTTAAAAAAAAAAGAACAGAATAAAGAAAAAGAAGACCATGTTATTGAAAAAGCGTCTGATAAATTAAAAACAAAAACCGTTAAATTTCCATCAACGATTTTAAATTTAAAATGTATCGGTCGTCTATTGACACTTCTGACCGGGTAATAATTTAAATAAATTCTTCTTTAAAAAGAAGTTTATAAAAAATAATTTTGTATAATTTTTTATTTTCAGAATGCCTGTTTCTTGGGCTCAAAATAAAAATTGTGATTTGATTAAAAATAAAAAAGAATTGCACAGATATGGTTACACTGTTACATTAGAATTACTTTGTAAAATTCGAGATATAAGTTATAGTGAACTTTCTAGAAGGAAATATACAGTTCATTACATTTTTTTTATCGGACGGTTTGTTTTTAATTTTTTTTTTTTTTTTTCATTTTTTCATTTTTTATTTTCATTTCAATTTTTATTTGTTTTAATTGTAGAATTTTATTTAAACATTGCATTTCGGATTTAAATACAATAAAAAATTTTGATCTTCAATGTGCAGCATTGGCATCAGAATGTTTTTACGAATTGTTAACATTCATTTCAAATTGTTGTAAATCTAAAATGTCAGAATTTTTAGTGGAAATAGGTAATGGGGGAAAAAAAAAAAAAAATTTGAATTTTCCACCCTATAAAATTATATTAAATACATAATTTAATTGTAATAATTTAATAATAAATAAATAAACAATGAGCAATCAATTTCCGGGTATTCTTCTTAATAAAATTTTATACTTTATCAGGTTTAACGGATGAAAAAATCGATCAACAATTTAAAAATCTTTTAATTACGATTTTGGAACTTATTGTTAATTTGACTGATGATGTAGAAGAAGAAAAAGCTAAGGAGGAAATATTTAAAAGAAAACTTTATTTGAATTTAATTTCAATTTGTTCTTTTTTAATTAATAAATTAGAAAAAGATACAGTCAAGGATTCAAGCGTAAACTTAAAATATTTTTCTTTTTTAATTTAAAATTAAATTTGTAAATTATTAATTGTAATCATTTTGTTTTTTTTTTTTCAGGTTCTGAATAAATTAATATTAATAATAAAAGAAAAAAATATACAAATTCCTAGCGTTGCCAAAGCTTTCCTTTCTTTATTTATTGATTTTCAATGTAAAGACAAAACGGCTAATAAATTTTTATTACATTTTGTCCTTTGCTTATGCGACACGATGCCATTGATTGACGATGAAGTTAGTTATAATTTAAATAATTTTGAAAATTATGATTAAATCATGGAAAAAGAAAATAAATAAATTTTTAAATTTGCAGATGGAAATAGACAAACATGAAAATTTTTCAATTATTAATTCAAAAACTTCAACAAGTTGTTTTACAGTTTTATGCGAAGCAGTTCATTCCATTGTACAAGATATCGAATGGGCATTACAGAGGTGAAATCAAATTATTTTCGGTAACGTATAAGTAACATAAACTAAAGTAAATAAATTTTTCCAGTTGTAAAATTGAAAATATGATTTTAAATTACAACATAACGGAAACATCGGAGATGAAAATAAACGTAGTTAAAGAAAAAGAGAAGGAAATATGTCGGCGATTAAATTTTTCCGTTAAAATTCTTAGTGTCCTGTGCACTATAGCCGTTCCTCCAGGACCTCTTTCTGATATGTTATTAAAAGAAGTGGGAAATTTGTACAATAAACTCACATTAACGGCCAAATATTTTACGTATAAATATTTAAAACAACAGCAAACTTTTTTACATGCTAAGTGAGTACCTGTGTACCTGTTCTTTCGTTAATTAAATCAAATTCGTGATTAAAATTTTTTTTTTTTTTGTTCAAAAGGTTTGATAAAACTGTGAAAATAACCGATAATGAACTTACGAAAAATATGTATTGTTTCACCGAACACATTATCAACAACAACGAATCTTCAATTGATGAAATAACATTAATAAAAAATCGTAAAACAAATTCTAAAACGAATTTCAAAAAAAAAATATTAAAAGATACAAAAATCATACCTAAAATCGTTTACGAAAGAGAACAATTTCAAAAATTTGTTTTACTTTTATCTAAAAAAACTAAAATTAATTTGGAATTGAAAAATACAATGGCACGAGATTACAGATTGTATTCGAAACAAGTTAAAGAAATAATTGAAAAAGAAAAGGATTTATTGGAAGTTAGTTTTTTTACTCATTATTTTTTTTTTTTTGTTTTACTACTATAATGGATGCTCGAAATAAAATAATTTTTTTTTCGTAGGATATGTTGACGGATGATAACGAATGCGATCCACCCAAAAAAGCTAAAATTGATGAATGAATGAGTGCAATAAATTCAGTTTTTTTATTCTCGCCTGATAATTTTCTACAAAAAACAATTTGTAAATCAATATCACATCCGATGCTACGTACAAAGTTTTAAAAACGGTTTGTATTTTTTTTTTTTTTTTTTAAAATTTTTCTTGCTTTTCTTCATAACCAGACATCTTGTAAATAATTTTTATTCTTTTGTAATTCTTTTAAATACGTCAAAGCTTGCTTATGATTCATTCCTGCCAACACAAAAAAAAAAAAAAAAATTATTTCCTTATTTTGTAATTAAATATTAATTTTATATAATTATTAAATAAGTAGTAATAATACCTTGATGCTCTTCAAAAATATCAATAAAACAATTTTGTACGTCTTTAACCATATTTTTTGCATCCCCACACACATATACTTTAGCTTGTTCATTCATAATTAAATTATTCACTTCTTCTCCATTTTTTTTCAAATTATCCTGAAATTTTAACAATACATATTTTTAATAGAACTTTGTCATTATATTTTTGATTATATTTCTTACACATTATACCTGAACATATTTTGCATCAGTGCTATCATCTCTCGAATATGCAACAAATAATTTACTTAATATTCCGATATCTAAAAATTTATTAATTTTGTCTTGACATATAAAATGAGATTCGTTTCTACATCCGTAAAATAAAAAAATTTTCCCTTTTTTATTCTCTAGTCTTCTATGTTCCAGAAATCCTAATAAATTAATATAATAATAATATTTTTTATTTTTGTTTTGACAAGATTAACCATGATAAATTAAAAATTTTTTTTAATTGATGACTTACCAAGAAATGGAGCGATTCCTGTCCCTGTTGCAATTAATATTAGAGGTACTTCAGTATCTGGCAAATTAAATCCATTTGATTTACGAAAATATAATTTCACATTTTTTTTTTTCTCTTCTTTATTATAATTATTAATTTTATTTTTTAACATTCCTGTACATAAACCTTCTTTTTGATCATTAGAAAATTCGACGAGAGAAAAAATAATTTCAATTTTATTACAAGAATTCAGGGGAGATGAAGCAATCGAATAAGGCCTCGGTAGTAACTTGGGTAAATGTTCTAATAATCGTTCGACAGGAGGACGACAACTTTCAAGTTGTAATATTAAACTTAAAAAGGTAACATTTTGTTCTAAAAATGTTTTCTCATATAAATCACATCCTTCTTTACTACATAATTTTAATAAATATTCTTTTTCATGTATATTTTTAGTGTATTCTACTAGTACCCTAATCAATAACTTCTTCGGTATACTGTAAATATCAATCATGTGCATAAATATATAATTTAATGTTGAAATTTTATTTAAATATGGAAACTGTTGTACTGATTTTAATTCACATTTTGCTGATACTTTAATTTTTTTTGTCCCTTTTTCAATTATTCCAATATGTTTAAATAATCTATCAATATCATTTTGTTTGTTTTTTACTATTATTCCAATTGTGTCACCAGGTTTATATACTGTACATTTCTAAAAAAAAAAATTAAAATTTATGGTTTGAAATACATAATTCAATCTATGCATTGTCAAGTTATTGATAATGCATAAATTCCTACATTATTACTTATTTCTAATGAATAAACTTCTTTGACATCATTCCCAGAGCTCAATTGCTGAAAGTTAAGAATGTTTTCTACAGTTACTTCACTATTTGCTAGAGGATAAACTTGATTAATTTCTTCAATTTCTTCTTTCTAGAGGGGAAAAAAAAAAAAAAAACAATAAGTTACCATACGAGTATTGCACCTGATTGCATTAAAAAAATTAATCACAAATTATATTTACACTATCATTTATTTCATTTATTTCTAAAAATTCACACGGTAATTCAGGTATTTTAAAATTAACAACGCTGTTGCTCGATAATAAATTTTCTTTTAATGTCATTTTTACTGCTTCGTATGTGACAAATAAAACCTTTCAATGCTTTTAAAATTTAAATTTAAAAAATACTCGTGAATCATAACTTAAATAATTGGTAACACTGCAAAACTGAAAATTCCTTTTGAACGGTTAAACGGTTAGTTTAAACATTTTCAATTTTTTTATTATTTAAAATTTAAATTATTGTTTTTAAAAAAATGTTGTGTTTTGAAGTTTTAAAAAATTCGTTAATCTTTAAATTATTAAAAGGTGAAGTATTTTGTCAATTTATGATAAATTACAATATGCTAAAAGGTTCTCTTTTAAATTTGAGTAAAATTCATAGAAAAAGAATTTAATTTTAAGCTCAGAATTTTTTTTATTACTATTATTAAATTTTTTTCAATGTTTTAGCATTTAAAAATATTTAAAAAGTCATAAATTTATTGTCAAAGTTAATTTTTTTTGTGGATTTCAAATACAAATTTTAATAATATATAATTTAAATGAAACTATAATATTATTCTGGTTTGTTGGTTTATTATTATTACTTATAGATTAATTTTAAAGAGAACAAAAACGGGGGGGGGGGAAAGAAATTAAAAAATTGTTTTTATGTCTTTATTATTCTATTTTTTTTTTATGTAAGAGTAAAAAAAAAAAAAAAGAGTAAGCCAAAAACATTTAAAAAAGTTTATTTTTATAATCATACAAACAAAAAAAAATAAAAAAAAAAATTATTAATAAATTCATACGGTTAACGTATTACAAATAAAAATTCCCCAAATACAATTTGTTTCAAAAAAAAAAAAAAAAATTTTTATTGTTAATAAATTAAAAAGTTTTTTAACTTTTAGGTTACTAATTATTTATTTTTTTTTTATTATTTACAGAAAAATATTTCTTATTGTAGTACAAATAATAATTTTTTTATTCATTATAAAAATAAAAAAAAAATGTTTTTCTAATTGTTTGTAAACAATAAAAATATTTAACTCATATTAAAATGATTATTTGAAACTTGACTCATCAAACATACCTAATTTGAATCAGATTAAGTTACAGATTTTATATTTTTTTTTATTAAAATAATTCTACTGGTCCAATAAAAAAAAAAAAAAATGTTTTGTGTTGTTGGTGTTTGAGATAATAATAATAATTATTTTAATAATAATTTTTAAATTATATAATCATATTTAAGAGAAAAACTTTTGAACCTCCCACAACACATCAAAACATTTTTTTTTTTTGCAGTAATTTTTGATAACATAATCATAATTATAAATATATATTTAAAATTTAATTTAAATATTTTTTCAAACTTTTTTTTTTGATGAATTTTAGCAATTATTTCGCTTTTACATAAAAACTTTTAATTAAAATTATACTAATATAATTTTTAATAGTATGCATAAATTATATTTTTTAAAAAAAAAAAAAAAATTAATTGGAAGTTAAAATAATTAAATTTTTACAAAAGTTTTCGCTTAAAAAGAAATAATGATAATAATACAACTTATTTTAAAAAAATAATTATTGAAATTTTAACTTTGTGTAAGTTACATAATTACGTATATTGTTACATATAATAATATGCGTGTGTATTTATATTTCCGTTTACGCGTTTTTATAAATGTATGTATGCGTATGTATGCGTGCGTGCGTGAGTGAAAAACATTTGGAAATAAGTTTTTCGCTCCAAATTAATTTTTTCCTGGCTGTGTCACAACCATAGCGAAATTTACAATTCGTTCGAACCGAAGGAAAAATAATATAATTACTTTTCCGAATGGAAAATTCTTTTGATTTATTAAAAGAAAGTTTGCGAAAGGGATAGTTTTATTTAATAATAATCAAAGGGCGTCGTCTTTTTAAATAAGTGACGTGGAAAAAAAATTGTTCGACGACCTCTAAAATTCCGCGCCGGCGTTTTGTCATGCGCAGTTGAGTCGGCTCTTACATTTACCAAACGATTCCCCAAATACCTGACGTAATTTTAAGCATTTAAAAAAAATTTTCGTAGTAAAAGTTATTTATTATTGTGTTTTGTTCGAGTTTATTAACTTAATTTGTTGTTTAAAAGGATTTTATCAAAAGTAAAATAAGTTATAGCGAAATTATTCGAAAATAAAAATTCGCTCTGTGAGGATAACTCGAAATTTTTTTAACTAAAATTTAACCAATCAGAAAATTAGAAGGTTTTGGTTTGCACAAAATGGTGGATGAATAGTACTACGTTAATAATTTACTTTCATATTATTAAAAAATTTATTAAAATTTTTTTAGTTTTTCAATTTTTTTAGTTAATACAGTGGCATCACAATGCATTTAGTTATTAGTTTTAAAAAATATTTAGTTAAGCGATAGAATTAAGGTGTTAAAATTAATAGTGAAAGGGAATTTTATTGTTTATTACAGTATCACAGCGCTGGGCTAGTTCCCAGTTATTGGCTTGCTTGCTCGTTGATTTAAGTTTTGTTGCAAACTGTCGTCCGCCATTGTTTCTGTTATTTTGAAGAAGAAAAAAAATCCGTAATTTTCAGTGTTCTTATGCTATGTGTACAAACCGAAACGAATTTTTGTGGCTCGAAAAACGGTTTTTTAAATAACAACTATTATTTATATTAAATATGAAAATAAGTTTATATATTTGAGTTGCGTGCTATTGTAGATTACTAATTCCTCGTCAATTTCCTCTTAAAGGTGCTTGTAATACATCACGTGGGAGTATTTTTTTTTTTAGATATTAAAATTTAAAGATATACAACTTATTATCATTAATGCATAACTTTTATATCTAATAATATGATGAAAGTTTGTGTTGAAAATGTCAACATTTTAGTCGAATGATTTATTGCGTTTTTGTAAATTTCCTTGTAGTAGTATGGCGGATCGTGCAGCCGACGGAGCGAATGGTTTTTTTTTTCAAGATGGAGATGCTTACTTAAAGAGCTTGCTGCATGTAAATGCGTTATAAATAATTTTTTTTTTCCCCCGTAAAAATTTGTTTTTTAGTGGAGCAAATATAAATTTAATTAATTTTGGTTCACTATATTTGTTTGAATGTGAAAGTATTCGCGGTAATGTAATTTTTTAAATATGGTGTTTTTAAAGTAATTTCTACACACTGGCCTAGTTATCCCATGGATGAATGGGAGTGAGTATTTTGGCCTCTTGGAGGCATCCCAATGTGGTTGTCATGGCCCCAGCTCTGACAGAAGCTGGCCAGTCACGAAATTTTAAGCCTTCATCTTCCTCAACATTCAAGAATCTCAATGATAGTTGTTTGATATCTTCTGCTATATTGTTTTCTAACACGGAGCATTCTGATTTTTTGAAGCTCTTACCTCTAAAAATAAAAGAAAACCAAACTGTCAATGGTTTTTTGAAAAAATTTGATGTTAAAATTTGTAAATCACCAGAAAGTCAGAACAAAGGTAATGGTGTTTTAAAGAAGCATGCTGTAAAAGCTTCAGATATTAATTGGAATTTATTAAATAATAAAACTGAGGAGATCACTGTAGAGAATTTGAGAATGTACAATAGTGCCCCTATGGGGGACCAGTATGAGAAAATGGGTTTATTAAAGTCAAGTACTCCAAATTCTTTACTAGATGAACAAGGAGAATTTATGGGGTTTTTAAAAACAGTTAATCAAAATGCAGAAACAAACAATTTTATGAAAGAAAAATCACTGTCAAATGATATGGATCAATTATTTAAAAATTTTACATCTGCAATCGCATGCACCGACTTATCACCAGGAGATTTTCCTCCACCAAATGTAGAGGAATTACTGCAAGTAATTAAAAATATGGAAAACACTTGTGAAAGTAGTGATACAGCTTTAGATGCTCCCACGGACAGTGTAGAGCCGGAAGGAATGTTTCCCTTGTCAGGAACGGATTTAGCATCATTTGAAAGGGAGTTATTAGATGATATGATGACCAATTTTGATGAAAATCTTCCTGATTCTGGTTTGGATATGAAAGAATCATTAACAAAGGAAAAATTAGATGATGTAAATAAAAGACAATTTGAAATAGAAAGGAAATGTGAAAGGCTTCTTAGAAGGCTGAAAAAATTGCAAGCTCGATGTGTGGGAAAGCATGCGGGAGAGGAGTTAACCGGTTTGTTTGAACATGTGCATCATTTAACGAGACAAGAATTTCAGGGCGCTCTTTCCTTAAAAAATGATGAACAAAAAGACAACAGGAATAAAGGAGTTACTGAATTAGCTTTATCAACTCTTGTTAATAGATTATCTATATCTTCTCTTAATCAAGCATCTGGTCTGACAAAGTACCGCCCAGTAGTTAAATATTTTGGATCCGGATCAGCAGAAGTGCCTCC